TGAAATCGAAAATGGATCTGTGAGGAGCCGAGGATGGGACGTCCACTTCCATCACTAGTTCGGATTCTTGGCTCTGTCCTATCGGCCACCCAGAATTTAGGTTTGGCTAGTTTTCTGTCACCGACTGGAACTCACTTGGTTGAAGAGGGGGTAGAGCCTCAGCCGTTCCTAAGATATGGTTAGAACTGCTCAGCCGACAAGAGTACATAAAACTTACCATCCTTCATTTCTTGGTCTTTCATCACAGCTTCTGTTTATCTACATTAAGTAGACAATCCTTGGTGTGGAGTAGGGACAATACCTGGATTTGTTAAAGACATATCAGTCAGAGAGTAGATAGCTTTTCCTGGGATTGCACTGTGTGGTTGGTGATGAAGACACATTGTTTTTCAACGGTGGGAAAGCAAGCCACTGCAGATCGGCCATGGAACATTCTGCAGATCTCGGTTGAACATTGTACGGATCTCGGTTGAAGTAACGCCACCACGTGACCGCGTTTACAACTTCGTAATTTCACATTCACCATTGTCCCATTCCGACGCGCACATTCACCACCCTTGATCGTCCCATTCCCACTTACCATGTCCACTGCTGAACTTGCTCAAGCCGCTCAACAGGCCCATACCCTCACTCCCGGGTTCTTGGAGGATGTTAGGGTGGCCACCTCCACGCTTTTGAACTTTTACAACCATCACAGGGAAGGTCTTCTGGCCCACCAACGGACGGTGGAAGAGGATGCATACGGGAAAGCTGTGAGTGACTAACATTGATTTGTTGACTGAAATTGGATCTCTTTCTCCTACAGGAACGATTTGTATGTTTGCTCATCGACAAGAATATGTGGTATAACGCGGCCCAGTGGCTCAACCACCCTTGGATTTTGGTGTACACGGAAATGGCCCGAGCGGGACCATCAGTTGATTGGACCAAAATGTTCTCGATCCCACAACCCACCACCCCTACCTTCTTTATGGAAGGTTATGCCGGTCCCTCTCCCCCTTTACCTCCATCTTCGACCGATTCATTGCTCCCAGTCACAGTCCCAACTCCCCCATTGCCGGTACCGACAGCTTCATCATCACTCCCGGCCCCAACAAAACCAACGCGTCGGGCAAAATCAACCGATCCTGTGCCAGCGGCTGAAATGAAGTCCAAGAGTAAGACGAAGTCTGGGCGAAGGAAACCCGAGGCCGGGTCCAGCGCCCAGCCACAATCAGAGGTGACTCCTAACGACACCGCTGCCCCAGTCCAAAGCAAAAAAAGAAAAGGGGACTCGATCGAAGCCAGGCCAAAGAAGACCAGAGTCGTGAGTGCGGAGTTCATCAACAGCAGCAGTGATGAGGAAACATTGAAGCCGAAGTCGGAGTCACTTCGACCGGTTGGTGGGGAAGCAAAGGCGGTTAAACCCAAGTCCCAGCCCCATTTCTCCCGCATGACACCCAGTGCCGGCCTCAGTCTCATCCGAAGGCCCAAGTTAGACCCCGACGCCGGTCCTCCCAAGACCGCCATGGCCGCTTTAAGGCAAGCCAAAACTGCCGAACGTCTTGCAAATCAGAATGCTGCGATTGCGAAAGGCAATTATCAGCTTGCGGATATCCCCTGTGAGGCCTGCAGCAAACGCCAAGATTGAGACATTGTTCCATGCGCTATCCGTTCCCCCCCACAACAAGGATCCTGCTTCACCTGCGGTACGGGTAAGACGACCTGCACATATGCAGTAACCAAGAAAAAGGACACCGACAGTGAGGTCGAAGACGAGATCCAAAAGGGGTTGCAGGATCTTGAAACGGCCACAGTCTCTGGGGGAGATGCCCAAGTGAAGATCGTGAGGAAGAAAGCGAGGTCAAAGAAGCCGCAGGTGAAGAAGGTGAAGCCGGATGTCAAAGAGAAGGGCAAGCAGGATGTCGAAATGGCCGCAGTCGGGCATGATGTGGAGCATGCAATTGACGTGGACATGGAGGTTGGTCTGACAATGGGAAAGGGGAAGTCCGAGGGTGGTATCGACATAGAGATGGCCGAAGTCAAACATGAGGAAACCGAGGTCGGTGCCATTCCAAAAGCCGACAAAGACGTGGGCCAGGTGACTCCCACCATAATCATTGAGCCACCCACACCACACACATCGGCGATTTTCAAGAGCACTGAGACCGAGGTCGGTACCAACACTGACAAAGGAAAGGGCTGGGAGATTGGGCTGCCAGCCAGTGAGATGGAGTGGATCGTGCCCGAGTTAGCAATGCGGCCGGGTAAAAAATTCATGAAACTCGTTATTCTTTGCTGACTTCGTTTATAGAATTGGGCTTGGCTGTCAATTATATGCAACAAAGCTTTACACCCCCACCTGTTGAGCGCACGTCCCGGCCAGAAGGTTCGCGTTCGGTATCCCGTTCTCGGCAGGTCAGCCCACCAGATCCCAAGGAGGTTCATCGTAAGTTTCAAGTTGTTTTCTCATTTCCCATGATTCTCAACTTGAAAACTTAGTTGACACGGCGCTCTATCAGAAGAAGATTGACTTTAGGTCCTTGAGCCCCCCACCGAACTTCGAC